TTATTTATATGTCTCTGTCCCTCTGTCTGACCCGGATGGGCTTCCCAAATCTCTCACCAAGCAAGAGAGTGAGAGCAGTTTGCCTGAGCAGGGATGGAAGAGGCTCACGGGAACGCTCAAACAATGGAGCTTAGAAACTGGAGTTATCCCTGTGGGAGCGCCTGAGAGCACTAGGTACCACTCTATGTTAAGATGAAAGTTGTTACCGCAGAATCGAGGTAGCCTGTAAACAGCCTACATAATTATGCTGTGACCTGCTAATGCCCGTTTGGGGGTAACTGGATAGAGCCTGCACACATGGAATACACTGGGGTGCTTCTGGCAAACTCTTGGGTGCCACCTATGTCTTGGTGAGACTCTGTAAGGTCCTAAGAGGAAAACTCCCAGGACAGTCTTTCAATGTCCAGGGAGAACAGCTCTCCCCACCGGCAAGGGTTGATAGGGGTAAGCAGCTGATCCCCACAGTCTCCCAGCTCCCCAAACCTCAAGGAAAACCTGGACTTGGTGTTTCCAGAGCCCAGGGACCCAGAGGCAGGACACGGGGAGCTAAGCTCAGAGCCCCAATAGAGGCTGCGAGAGGGTGTGCAGGACATGTGTGAGCTGTGCAGAACCGTGAGAGTGAATGGGCGGCCCCAGGCCCATGGTGCAAATAGAGGGGCAGGGCTATGAACTGGGCACCAAGGCGTAAACCAGGAGCTGCCTGTGCCTGCCCTGGCCATCCTTACCAGGAGTGTGACTCCCAGTAGCAGTGTGACTGGCAGGAAGGGGCATGGCTGACCAAATTCCTGGAAATGACTGGAACAGGGAGGCTCTTCCTTCTGAGGCTTTCCCATCTGGTCTGACACATGGATCTGGACACACTTCTTGTCACCAGTAGCGTGTCACTCAGCCAAGGCTGTCCCAACAGGTCCAGGTGTGCAGGAGCAAAGAGGAATCAGGGCCTGGTTCTCTATTACATGGGGTCTGACCGTGCTGTGATGGTGGCGGTGGGACTTGTATTAGGGAACCCGATGGTCCACACAGAAGTGGGGCGCTATTATCAGGGATCAGCTCCATAACAGACTCGGGGACACTAGAAACATGTTCCATCCACAGCCCCATCCTGCTCCACTGATAATACACTGTCTTCCTGCCAGGGCAGGTGCTATGGAGAGGGACCCTGACTGAGGGGACAGCACCTTGGACCCACCTGCTGCAGGAGCATTTTCAAGTCCTCATCCTGAGAAACCTGATGTGGCCACTATGGGGCAAAGTGGGGTCTGTCCCTGGTGCCACTGCAGAGGGGAATGGGGGAACAGGCACCAGAGGCCAGGGGAGGAGGCCATGGAGGTGCTGCAGTGGAAGGCAGGGCTCTGGGTGCTGCATCCTGCCCTCCCTCCTGGGGACGCATCCGAGATTGAGACCTTCAACCCTTGGGGTGGACTCTCCTGGGGTCATTGACAGACTTCACACAGGGGCAGGCATGTGAAGCGTCTTGGCATGGTGACATGGCCAAGGCTTCCCACAATCTAGAAGCAATTGTCAACTACTGGCCAGACCATCCCCACCTAGTGACACACACACCCACACAGGCCTGGGATAGATCCATTTATTGCAACAATCGTGAAATCAGACAGTGGCAGTCAGGGAGAAAGCCCGACTTCCTCCTTCCTCTCTTCTCAGCCTGGCAAGCTACCGAGAGTATCCCACCCGCTCGGCAGAGCCTGGCAAGCTACCATGGCATATACAATATGCCAAAAACAATGGACACGTTACTGGTGCCCACTCCAGCAAATCAATGAACAATGGGAGGACAGTGCTACAGTGCTACAGATTTGATGGCGAAGGGGATTAGGTTTCCTAGGTGGACAGCACCATCTCGTGGGCACGTCAGAGTAATACAGTAGGGACTGGTCAGACCCAGGGTTGATGCCTCTCCCTTTGTTCCACAGGAATATGCTGTTCCTCAAACACCATCCCTGGTCCATGAGATTGGCACCACCTGGAGCTTGTGAGGTGGCAGCATCTCGCCTCCTGGGCCGGATCCTGCCTCTTCACAAGGTACAGGTACGTCTGTGCACATCGTAATAAGCCTGAAAATAACTGCTTTGCCGAAAGAGAAAAAGGAAGCCAATGAATTGGGAATGTTATGTTTCATCCATATTCAACCAGCAAGTAACATGCAAGTAGCCCATTTAAATAAAATGAATCCTGCCCAGCTGACAGAAAGGGGCTTGTCCAGCAACAAAGGTTCAGTTTCTGGGAGACTGAGCACCTGCTTTGCATGAAGGTTGGTCCAAACACCCCTGAGAGCAACCCCTCAATACAGAGATGGGAGTAACCCCCAAGCACTACCGGGAATGGTTCCCTACCCTCAGTCCCCGAAAATGTTCTTGGGAATTGATAAAGTTTTTTTTTTCTTTTTGGGTCATACCCAGAAATTCTCAGGGGTTACTCCTGGCTTTGAACTCAGAAATTATTCCTGGCGGTGCTTGGGGGACCATATGGGATGCTGGGAATCGAACCCAGGTCGGCCACGTGCAAGGCAAACGTCCTACCCAATGTGCTCTCACTCCGGCCCCGGGAATTGTTACAGGTTTTTAAAAGGGAATCTTTTAAAAGCAGGTAAGCAGGCATCTTCCATAGAGAGGGGCACCTCTGAAATCAGTTACAAATGCACCTGCATCATTTACAATATTAGTCAAATAACCCACTGGACCAGGGAAAGCAAAATTCCAGGCCAATCTGCAGAATTCTTGTTTCCTGGCCCCCATAGTCCCCTCCCCTCGAGAGTGAGCAGAACCTGGAAGATAGTGGGATAACATTTTAAAACAACAAATTTTGTAGGATGGCATTAAGGCCACTAATCAGTTAACTTTTAACTTTTTAAATGTCAAATGAAGTTGACTTTTTAACCTCATCAGCTGACTCTGAACTTAAGTCTCAATTGAACTTTTAACTTAAAACTTAAATCTTTTTCAACAAAAGAAATTATACTGGGTAGACCTGATTTAATTCAGTGAACACTAAAAAAGAAATAATATCATTTAGCAACAGACCCTCTCCTACTGGCTGAATCAGCAGCAAACTCATGCTAATGGAGAGGGGTGAAAAACAACCAATGGCCTTTTAGAGTTGTTTTAAGTTGCTGAATCATAAAATCTTTCAAAGCTGTTATTAATATATTCTGAGAACTAAGGAAATCTGTTCAAAGGATTAATGGAACATGTGTTAACATTAAATCAATATATTGGGGATCTCAGCAGAGAAACAGACATCATCAGATGTTTAAAGAACCAGAGAGATATTTGGAGTTGAAAGTACTGTAACTGAAATTTAAGACCAAAAAAACTCACAAAGCTTCATGATGTCAATAGGTTTGAGATGGCAGAAGATGGGAAATGAAAAGATTACTCATTAGACATTATCTAACTTAAAGAACAGAGAAAGGAGCAGCAAAAGTTAAGACAAAGACCATCCCATATTGACTTTTTAAAGCTCTTTTTCTCAAAATCTCCGTGAATCCCAAGGATGATAAACACAAATCCACTACACCTAGACATCTATTCTTTTTTGTTTTTTTGTTTTGGGGCCACATCAAGAGATGCTCAGGGGTTATTTCTGGTTCTGCACTTAGGAATCAATCACTCTCGGTGGGGCTTGGGGGCCAATCTAGGATGTCAGGAGATGAACCCAGGTCGGCCGTGTGCAAGGCAGTGCCCTTCCCGCTGTGCTATCACTCTATGTTTACACCAAGAGACATACTAAACTGTTAAAACACACACACACACACACACACACACACACACACACACACAGAAAAATCTCAAAGCAGCAAGAGAAAAATGACTCGCTACATATAGGCAAATGGCACATATATGGGTAATATAAGAGAATGTGGGGCTGGAGTGATAGCATGGTAGGTAGAGCATTTGCCTTGCATGTAGCCAACCTGGGTTCAATCCCTGGCACCCCATATGGTCCCCTGAGCACTGCCAGGAGTGATTCCTGAGTACAGAGCCAGGAGTAAGTCCTAAGAACTGCGGGAAGTGGCCCCAAAACAACAAAAAAAAGTAAGCAAAATAAAAAAGATATTCCATGATATCACAGTGGGGGCGGGAGGGTTACAATTCTATTGATGCAAATGTGCTGTCTTTTACTGGAAATAACAGTAAGAAATTGAAAAGAGTGTGATAAGTTCAGAAAGCATATTATGGGAACCTCTGAAAAACATGGCAATGAAATCTACAGAAAACATTCTCTTCTCCACGAGACTGACAAAGAAGTGGGTATGGCCTCTACCAAAATAAATAACTAAATAGCCTTTTTTTTTTCTTTTCGGGTCACACCTGGCACAGGGGTCACTACTGGCTCTGCACTCAGAAATTACCCCTGGCGGTGCTCAGGAGACCATATGGGATGCTGGGAATTGAACCCGGATCGCCCGCTGCAAGGCAAACGCCCTACCCTCTGTGCTATCGCTTCAGCCCCACTAAATAGCCTTTTTATTAAATACGTAAATACGTCAGTAATCTCTCAATGCCCAGAAGGAACCAATGCCAGATTCCTAGATTTTACCTATCTACAGGGAGGAAATACCCAACGCAGCGTGTGAGGTAGTACCAAGGGATGCAAAGTACAAGCCGTGAGTCTGATTTCCTGGGAACTCATGCAGACATGCCCTGGGAACTACTGCAAATACCAACTTGAATTATATACCTCTTTTCTAGAGGAAATAAAACAACACAATAGGAAAAAATAATAGAAAAATATTTGAAAATTTTAATTCCCTGAAAACCACGAGTGAACATTTGATGGTTACTGAAAACGGGGGTATTTGGGAACCGTGGCAAGTGTTTCCAAACCAGTACCAAGTGCATTCACATTATGCACCGAATCCCACCCCACCTTAACCTACGGCATCGGAGGCAGGCAGCTGAGTGGGCGCTCTGTCGGGGAGCCCGGCCCCTCTCTGCTGGGCCCAGGGGCTAGGGCCCTCACTTCCGGTGTGCTCCCGCCTGTCATAGCATCTGTTCCTGGAAGAACCACTGCTGACGGCTTGAGAGGGTGCAGTCCCGTAAGAGTGGGACAAACTTGTCGTTGGATTCCTTCTCGGCCTGAACACATTTCTTCGACTGTTCGTGAAACAAAGAACCATCCTAGGAAAGATCACAGGCAATTTCAGAGAATGACAAGTGGTTGCTCGCAGGATTTTTCCTGAAAATGTGTTCTTGCAGGGCTGGATCAATAGTACAGCAGGTAGAGTACTTGCCTTGCACACAGCTGAAGCGGGTTCGATCCCTGGCATCCCATGATGGTCCCCCAAGCACTGCCAGGAGTCGTTCCTGATTGCAGAGCCAGGAGTAACCACTGAGCATCGCCAGGTGTGGCCCCCAAACAAAAAAAAATAAAATTTGAAAATAATTTTTTAAAAAATGTGTTCTTAAGCCTGTGGATCTTTTTTTTTTGTCCTTTCAGAAATTTATATATAGAAATGTCTGCACTGGCTAAAGGAACCCAGAAGGTCTGGGGCACGGAGGTACAGCCTGTCATACAGCCTCCCTCTCACCCAAGAATCATCACCCTTCCAGACTCCACTTCTCATTCCTAACTGTAACATTTTTCTACCAGAAAATGTCCTCTACTTTCTTCTGATACATAGAATGAACCCTTTGTAAGTATGACAGAAGAATCTTCCCATCCCTGGGGCCAGGCTGAGAATGAATCCAAGGAAAGAGGACAGGTTTTTTGTTTTTTTGGGTTTTTTTTTCCTTTTTCATTCTTATTATTTGTCTCCTCTTCAGTGCTCAAACTGTGCTTGAATGAGCCAAAGCTACAGCCGAATTACAAATCTCCTCAAGGGTCCACAGCAGAGGGGGTCACAGCATGAGGGACCTACTGCCTCTTGGGCCTGCATCCACTGCCTGCTCCAAATCCACGGTGATGGAGAACAGACCCCAGCGGGGGTAGTGTACACTGCAAGGAACATTTCTGTGGAGGGTGGGATACTCGGGTCCTCAGGGGTCACTTCTAGAGGGGCCTGGGTACTAGAGGTGGTGCCAGGGATTGAACCAGGGATGGCTGCCCACAGGACAAGCACCTTAGTAAATCCATGCCTGGCCCTGTGCTACAAGTGACCACTCAGCGCCCCTGGCTGGGCTTGACAGTTTCCAAGGAAGCTGCCGGCTATCTGCCGAGTCCTTCCTGGAGTTGGCCAAAGCTATGGGTACTGCCCTCGTTTTATTTGGTTCACCTCTTAAGTTATTTATTTACTGGAGGGGGTCCTCCAGAGCACTCTTGGGATAGAAAGCCCTGGGGATTTGGGCCAAGCAGGCCATCTGCTTGAATGCTAAGACTTGAGGAGGTGATGCTTAGGTCCTGCAGTGCTGGGGTGCACCAGGGCCATCCCAGTGATGCTCGGGACCTCCAGGGCTGCAAATGGTGACGCTCAGGAGGGGCCACGTGGGATAAATCCAGGGCTGCGTGTGTGCTTTGGTGACCCCTGTAACCATCTCCCTGCCGCTCCCCCTGATTCCAGAGCTGGGGAAAATGGGGGTGAGGTTTACAGAAGTAAAACAGTTTCCCCACCACCCCAACCCTCCCCCCGCAGGATCTGCCCTCACATCTGCTTTAAGGAGACCCCATTCCAGCAGCAGCAGCAGCAGCAGCCCCCAGGCCGGTCCCAAGCCCTTCCCAGCCCCCAGCAACTCCAAGTGAACAAGAGAAGACAGGCCAAGCATTAGGGATCCTGCAAGATGAAGGCGGCAACAGTTCCCCATTCCACCCCACACCCTTTCCCAGCATGTCTCTTATCCCAGCATGCCTGGGGCCGGCTCCTCCCTGAGACTCCCGGGGTCTACTACAGCCCCAAGACTGACAGCACAGATGACACTGCCCACTCACTGGGCAGGGGAGGAAGTAGTGGTTCTCAGGGTCCGGATCATGGCAGAGCTCCATGACCAGGCTCTCCCCGCCCGCCTCCACCGCCAAGCACCCCTCGGGCTGGTGGCTGTTGTAGCGGATCTCCTTCCGGGATGTATACTCGAAGAACTGCAAAGGACCCATCCGTGGGCAACGGTTACTTTCGGCCATGGAGGAATGGACAGACACCAGGCGGGATCAGAGCGCAGGGGCCAGGCAGAGAGCCTGAGTGTCCAGTCTTGAGGGTCTGTGAGTGCCTGGCCAGAGTTCCCCAAGGCCCCCTTCTCATGCTCTGCTTCTTCCCTGGGTGTTTGAGACCTCACGCTGTCCCCACCCTTGAGCTGGCCAGAAAATGGACGGTCTCAGTAGCCGAGTGGGCAACTCTGAGGCCTGAGCTGCCCTTTCTCTTCTCTGGGCTTTTCTGCCTCTTCCCGGCAAACTTGAGGGAGTTTGATCCAAGGCAATGGTACCGTGGAATCACTAAAATGTCCTGTGCAGGCAGGAACTGCACTGCCAGGGAGAGGGCAGGCCTGGGTCACACAGGGAGACAGGGTGCTGGAATCGAGCCTCTCCGGCCAAGTAGGTGTCCTCCTGAGCACTACCTCCTGAGCCGACCCAGATCTGCAGGGTTTTCCTTTTTCTTCCTCTAACTGTAGGTATTGGTGCACGGTTAGTCATAACTGCACAAACGGATTTCTCTGGGTCCTATCGGGCACTGCTTGATCCGTTTTCTATTTCCCAGATGTTCTACAATGAGTCTGTATTACCTTTGCACGCAGAGAATCAGTTCATCTCACCGCTCCAGAATTACATGGTGCAGGGCCAGAGGGATAATACAGTGGAGAGGGTGTTAGCCTTGCTGACCTGAGTTCAATCCCTGGCATCCCATATGGTCCCCTGAGCACTGCCAGGAGTGATTCCTGAGTGCAGAGCCGTTAGTAACCCCTGAGTAACCCCAGGTGTGACTCAAAAACAAAAATAAAAACAAACAAAGAACTACATGATGTGAACCACCAAGAGGCCAAAAGGCACAATATTCCCAAAAAAGACATCGGAGCATGCATGGATCATGCAAGAGGAAATCATCAAGTATAAACCATAAACATTCAATGATGACAATTAATTAAAACACAGAAGCCAGAGTCTGTGCATAGGAGAAAGAGGGACAAGAAACTCATCTTCATCCTAAGGCGTTTCTCCAGTTCCTCTCGGGCACACTTGCTTCACTTTCTATTTCTCAAATATTTTACAATGAGTCTCTATTACCTTTATAAATTGAAGAGGTCAAATATTCACTTTTTAAAAAACACACATAGATGTGCTGAAAGTAGATAAAGGACCAAACATAATGGCCTCTCAGTATCTGTATTGCAAACCATAATGCCCGAAAGTAGAGCGAGAGTAAGAAGGAAATTGTCTGCCATAGAGGCAGGGGATGGGGGTGGCGGGAGGGACACTGGGAACATTGGTGGTGGAAAATGAGCACTGGCGGAGGGATGGGTGTTTGATCATTGTATGACTGAAACTCAATCATGAAAGCCCTGTAACTGTATACCACAGTGATTCAATAAAAAAAAATTAAAAAACAACAACACACATAGATTTTCCCCAATTTCCCTCTTTAAGAGGCTCCCAAGACCTTTAACCCTGGCACCCTACTGCCTTTTTCCAGAGAAAAGCGTCACCTACCTGGTTCTGGCCCAGGCCGTGACAGGTGTACAGAATGACCTGGTGCCCCACAATCTGGTTTTCATCAGGAGAATTATAGTCAAAGCAGAGTCCTTGCAGTCCTTTATTCTGGAGCTACCAAGAAACATAAGGGGAGTTTCCAGTTCAGGTTTACACACAACTGAGTCAACCCAGGATGCTGCGGGAGGAGAAACAGGGAGTGAGGAGGGCCTGGCACAAGAACCAGGCCCAAAAGTAAGAGCTTCTGGGACCTGAGCGACAGTACAGCAGGTCAGGTGGCTGGCCTTGCACATGGACAAACCCCAGCACCCCACAGGACCTCCTGAGCACCGCCAAGAGTGATCCCTGAGCGCAGAGCCAGGAGTAAATCCCTGAGCACCACTAGGCATGGTCCCCACACCAAAAATAAACAAATAAATAAGAGCTTCTGATATTTTTACCTATTATTAATTTATTCATTTTGGATTTTTTTTGGGGGGGGAAGGAGGGAACCATAACATCTAGCAATGCTCAGGGCTTACTTCTGGCTCTGTGCTCAGAGATCACACCTGGTGGTGCTTGGTGGGGAATGCTATGGGGTGCTGGGGATAGTGCCCAGTTTGGTCACGTGCAAAGGCCTGAAGAGCATCATGCCCCATCATCCCCTCCAGGGCTGCGCTTGGACAAAAGAGAAATGCAGTGGGACGGGGTGGGGTGGGGATGCAGGAGACAGAGGCAGGGCGATCAAGAGTGACACACTCCCTGGGGCAGGCAGCCCACGACGGCCTCCTGATCCTCTCGCCACCTCGGGAGACCTGGACACTTCACAGTGGCCAAAGATTTGAATGTATTCAGAGCCTGCTGGGCTCTGACCAAAGGGCTTCCAGAATGGGGGAAGCAGCGTCGCCCAGCTGTGCAGCCCAGGAGAGGGGAGTCTCTACCTTGGCGTGATTTCTCTCCAGAGTGAATGGCACTGGGGCCAGAGAGACAGTCTGGGTGGGGGGGTGCTGAGAGCACTTGCCAGGCAGGCAACCAAGCCCCAGTCTGACGCCAACACCATCATGAGTGACCCCTGAACACCACCGGGTGAAGCCCAACCCCAAACCCCATAGCCCAAATATTTCCCATTTGTGTGCAGGGGTGGTGGCGGGGGGGACGGGTGTTTAGGCCATACTTCGAGGTACTCAAGGGCCACTCCTGACGGTGTTCAGGGGACCACGTCTGGCACCGGGGATCAAACTAGGGTTGGCCACACAAAGGGCAAAGCTTAACCTTAACCCAGGGACTATCTCTCTGGGCCCCCCTCCAAACATTCCTTTTCTCTTTCTTTTGGTGAACAACAGAAGTGACTCTCCTTTTCCTGCCTCATCCTCCTCTACCCCCTCTCTGGTCCCCAAGGACCCCTGAGGTGGGAATGATTGATTGACCCAGACACTGAGACTAGGGTGAGAAGTGATGTGATGGGTAGAGGTGGTGTGGAGAGTCCAGGCAAGCCTCAGTCTCCTCATGCACAAAATCACAGGCAGAACCTGACTCTCGTTCATATGCTCCCACGTGAGCGAGCTGAGAGCCAAACCCAGCCGGGGGAGGGGAAGAGCCAGGGGATACAACAGGGGAGGGCCGGGGCTGGGGAGCGCAAGGGACCCCACCGAGGACCTGCCCCATGCAGGGCGTGGGGACCCTGCCGGCAGCCCCCCCGGGCGCAGCCCTCTCACCATCCCGAAGCAGCCGGGCCGGTCCTCGGGCACGTGCAGCTCAGGATACACGTTCTCCAGGAACCACCTGAAGTCCTTACACTTGAGCTTCTCACGGAGCTGCTGCCTCTCGGTCACGTCACCAAAGGACTCCTGAGGGGGGTCCATGCGGTCAGCCTGAAGGTCCTCCACTGCCCCCCAATCCACCCCACCCCACCCCAGTCCTGGTGCTTGATGATGCCCCCAAGCCCCAGCTGTGCAGGTGTGGGTGGGTGCCCAGGGAGAGAGCTGTAGCAGCCTGGGTACCACACACACACACACACACACACACACACACACACACACACACACACAGGGTTCCCCGTTGCCCAGCTCCAGCCTGGGGAGACCCAGTGCACCTCGATGGTCCTGAAGCACCTTGGACATGACAGGAGCCCCAAACCCCCGGCCCTGTGGGCATCCCTGGACACGCAGCACTTCTTCAATGGGACAGATTGAGGAAGGCTGGCTAAGGTAGACACGCACGCAAAGCCAAGAGACGGGGCTGGGATGAGATGAGATAACACACACATGCATCATCCATGACCCATTTCTGGCACCACACACATACACACACACACACACACACTCACACACATAGACATACTCTGGGTCGAAGAGATAGCTCAATGGTCAAGAGCACATACAGGAGGCCCAGGTCTGAGTCCCAGCACGTCAGGGAACCCCCAGCACTGAGTCAGGGGTAGACCCCAAGCACCTCCAGGTGGGGGTCAAAAGTAAACAGGAACCAGAGAGCTCGTGCAGAGGGCAGGGTGCTTGCCTGGCAGGTGGCCACCCTGCCCTGGTCCCTGGCACCTCATTTGGTTCCCAGAAAAAATCACCAGGCGTGATCCCTGAACCAAGTACATACATTGAGGTTCGTGTATGTACTCCAGATTGAGGTGCTACACTAGGGACATCTATGTCCCTCAGAACACGTTGCCTACACTAGGGGACAGCTCTGTCCCCCAGGTCAGGTGCCTACAATGGGGGCTATGTCTGTCAATTGTTTGAGATGCCTCCAGTGGGGGTGTGTCTGTCCCCCAAAACAAAGTGCCTAGGTTGGCGACATTCTAGCCCCCTGCAACTCCACAGAGTCTGTTGTAGGTGACAGTGTCTCCCAAATGCCTGGGGTATTATGGGAGGCTCATTCCTGCCCCTTCCAGTGATCATGTGTCCATGGCGGCACACATGTTCCTTCTTCCTAAGTTGATGATGGGCATTTGATAGAACCATTTGTGTTTGTGGGCAAGAGCATCGCCATGCTCTACGGTGCCCATTGGTGTTCCTCTCTCACTTCCATTTTTTTCTTTTGGAAAAGTACTCCCCTGCTGCCAAGTGTGGTGGGGGTTTGACTAACTTCAGGGAGACTTTTGAGTCCCAATTTTGGAGAAACTTTCGATGTTTAAATTCTTTTCTTTGGATTTACTACTATTATTATTACGAGTTATGGTTTCAGTTTCTTCCTGCACATATGGATGTGTTGGAGGATGTCTGCCTTGTTTACATGCAGGGTCTGAGGCTCAATGTTACTCTGTTTGGGTCATCTAGCTACTCTTAGCACGCAGCATCCCTACCATGGGGGCGAGTCTGCAACTGCTTTGTTTAGCCCCTTATCATAATATGTGTCCTTCCTCACTGGGGAGGGACAAAGGAGGGGAGAAGGGAGGGGGCGGGAAGGAGGAGGGTGGAGAGAAGAAGGGCGGGAAGGAAGGGGGAGGAAGGACAGGGTTGGGGTAGCTGAATAAGATTTTGACAGGGTTGATGAAAAATGGAATTCCAGGTCAGTAAGAATTCCAGTTTAACCATTGCTGATGCTAGGGGACAACATGATTTCCTGGCAGGTCACTTGGGGCCCTGGGCCGGGTGTCTGCGGGTTCCTTATCTCATGGGCATCACAGTCTGATTGATCTTCTGCCGACACAGGTTTTCTTTGTATTGGCTCACATTGCCCTTTGATCTAGGTGTGATTTCCATCTCTGGGTAACAGGGAGGATGGGGTGTGCATGAGGGTGTCTTTGGGAAGTCCCTTCTGACTGTCACAGGACACTTGGGGTTCCAAGGAAGGTGTGGCTGTCCGTTGGTTCCCGAGCAGGATGTTGGGGGTTGAGAGAACGCTGAGGAGGGAGACCAAGCGTTAGGAGGGGCAGTCACAGGGGTCTCCGAGCAGGTGTCATGCTTACCATGGCCTCTTGGGTGATCCGCTTGCATGCCAGACTCAGGGTTTTTACTTTTTGTTCCTTTGACTCGGTGCTCCCTTCCTCTTCCTTCACCATTGCACCAGCCTCCTTATCTCAAGGGCATCACAGTCTGATTGATCTTCGTCAGTCTTCATGGTCTATTTCCCATGATTGACATCCTGGTTCTGTTGGGCTGTGGAGCAGCCCTGTGGTCTTAGCCAACCAAGGGGAGGTGAAGTGGCATGGGGCAGGGCCCACCTGGCTCCACCTCCCCCGTAGCCCTGCCTCCTGACCCCCGTAGGTGGCTTCTCCCTCCTGGGACCCTGCTACTCACCCTTTTCAGGGTCTCTGCCATTTCAGGGGTGGAGAACTGCCGCTTCCAGTTCTCCTGCAGGGCTGACTGAGCAACCCCTGAAGGTGAAGAGAGTAGGTGAGGAGCAGGAGGAGCCGGCTGCCGCCTTCCTGCCCAGAGCCCACGGCCCTTCTCACCCGCGTCCCCATCAGCCCACGCCTTGTTGTCTCTAAATCTTCCTTTTCTTCATCTTTCTTGTGAGGCAGCTGCTCCTTCCCAGAGCCCAGGTGCTGTTGGACGGTGGCCCAGTGCTGCAGGAAGGAGCTGTCGCTGCAGGTGCACTGCGCCTGCACCTGTGACAACCCTGGGAGTGCCTGTCGCCCAATCCCTGCCAGGAGAGGCAGGCTCAGACTCCCAGGCCCAGGCAGGCAGCACCTGGTGCAACCAGCCCTGATGTTCTTGCTCCCGGGGCCTAAGACATGGGGCCTCCCCGGGCAACTAGCCCTTGTCTCTTTCCCTGCTGCCACCCACATCCTCAGAACCATTTGGAGCAGGATGAGTCAGTCAACATCACTGGGAGGCCTCCTGCCCTGTCCTTCCCCTCTCCCCCATAATCCAAGTAGGTCTCTTGTCCTCCCAGGGGAACTTCTGGACAGGAAAGTCCAGACCCAAACATCAGAAGCCTCTCACGCCAAGAAAGGCTTCGGGCGGAGGGTAGCAGGCTTTCCAGAAGGGCCGTGCCCCAGTCTCAACAATCTGCCCCAGAGCTCAGCCAGCTGCTGGAGGGCTCATGGGGTGGGCAAAGGGCGTGGGAACGGTTCCCGACTCATGTTCCATTCCGTCTAAGATGCAGCTCTGAACCTAGCCCTGCTCACCCCACACCACAGCCCCCTCCGGGGATGCTGCCCCTGCTCCTGTAGACTCAGGTCAGTGTCCTCGTACCTCAGACGAACCTGCATCTTGCCTGGATCTGGTGGAAACTTCCTGACCTCCATTGTAGCTGTTCTTTCATATTCCGTAGCCCAGATGGAAGAGCTGGGGGCACCACGGGGCTAATGCACCTGAGAGAGGGTAGACAGTCAAGGCCCCCAGAGCCTTCACCCCACCACCAACTTCCTGGGCCCCCATCCTCGGACTTGGGGTTCCTCCTGCTCATCTTGGGGGGCTGCTCATCTCTCACAGCCTTCTGCTGCTTTGGGTTCCTCACAAAATCAATTCTTTTCTTGTTTGGAACCATTTGTGCCCGCCTGGCACTGCTGGAAGGGGGCACCAGGACAGGGCAGAAAGGAGGGTTCCAGACCCGGGCCCTACTTTTCTCTTCACGTTCATGCTCATGACATTCTGGAGGAGTGGATCCCCACCTGCTGCCCCACTCAGGGGGACACCGAGGTGCAGAGGGTCAGGGAGACTCGCCCAGCTCCTGCTCCCAGCCTGTCTCCCCATTCACAATGCCCCGTTCACAGGGCCTCTCCCTGGACACTCTAAGCCACCCCTCTGCCTTTCCCGCCCTCTACGTCACAGACTTGAAAGCTCTGATCCCGTGACTCCAGCCCCCACACTCACTCATCCAATCATACATGAAGCTCTGCAATGTGGGCTTCCATATTTTTAAAAATAGGTTTTATGTTGTTTTAATTCCTGTCTCCAGCTTGTTTCTCTGAGACTGGCCTGTTGAAATGGTAGGACAGCTGGAGAGTGGTTTAGGCATTCAGGGACCCTGCTTTGATTTCCCAGCACCACAAGGGAAGCCCTGAGCACTTGCCGGGCCTCACTCCTGAGTACGGAGCCAGGAAAAGCTCCTGAGCACAGGAGCTCTGGCTCAACGCCCTGCCCCCCAATAAAAGAACACCATGGGATTGGACACGTTGCGTGGGCATGGCCATGGCACCATGCCCCCTGCATAATCCCTGAATCTGGAGGTGGGGCACATTCGGGGGTGGGGGGGACGTGTTCCCGCAAGGAACCTCCTGGAAGGAATACCTCACTCTTTCCTTCCACCTATCAGTTTGAACATCCACCTGCTTCTTAGAATTGTCTGTCTCAGCCTGCGCCTGTCTCGACTATTGTTGAGCTCAGAGAATTGGGTCTCTCGCATCCCTCACTTCACACAGGGGTGCCTCTGGTATCCCCATCTCTCCCTCTCCCACACCTCATGTTTCTCAATTCTTCTTTTGCACGCAGCTTTTCAGCAGCCTGGGGGTCGCTGCCCTGTTGCCCTGTTGGGTCTGTGAACTAGAGGGTAGGAAAGGAGGCCGTTACATGGGGGAAGGCAGAGTCAGGCCACAGGGAGTTCCCCCCTACCCCCCAAAAAAGTTATTAGGACTGAATCATTAGAAATCATTAGGACTGGGATTTGAGTTGGCCCAGTTTTCACTTCTGCATCCCCCCCTCCACACATTCCAGGTTTCTAGTAGTGGAAGATATTTGTCCCCCTAATCCTTGGGATCCAGTAGTGGGGGACACCTCTGTTCCTCTGATCTCTGGGTTCTAGTGGTGGGGGACATTTCTGTCCCCCACAACTCAAGTTTAGTGGTGTGGGATAATTCTGTCCCCCTAATCCACGGGGTCTGGTGATGGGGGAGTTTCTGCCTCCCTGATCTCTTGTGTCTTTAGGTGGCGGTCATTTCTGCCCACCTAATAATACCTTGTGTCTTTAGGGGATCTGCCCCCCCCACACCCTGGTGTCTAGTACTGAGTGCAGTGGAGGGGGGTGGAAGGAGAAGGGAGGAGGGAAGAGGGTGGGAAGGAGCAGGGCGGGAAGGGCGGATGGGGCTGAATTAGTTGGATTCGGAGAGGGTAGAGTTCATGTGTGCAGTAAAATAAGGGGATTAATGGTGAATAAGGTTGTCAGCTGAACTTGTGCTTACGAGCTGGATTTGTGTGATTTGTAGTCAGGTCACCCTGGGTCCCGGGTCAGTGGTCTGTGGCCTCCTGTTCCTCAGACAGAAATAGAGTCTCTTGGGATCCTCACACACTCTACTGTCCCCGCAAGCCTAGATATGGACCGCAGCCTCCAGCTCCAAAGTCTTCTCACACTCCTCCAGCCGGTCTCCTCGTACGTAGCCTCCAGCTAAACAGACTTCAGGGTCTCACAAACCTCCACTATGTTCGAAGGCCGAAGGGCTACTCCTCCATGCTTCTGGCACAGGACGTACTTTGGAAGCATGTGTCCAAGGTCTCAGACAGCCAAGGGAGGTCAACAGGCCTCACCAAGAGGAAGCTCTGCTTGCTCTGCAGCCCCGCCTCCTGACCTCCATGGGGGGGGGGGGTGGTCTCCCACCTGAGGAACCTGTCACTCACTTTTCTCGGGGTATCCTTATGATTCCAGAGGGCCTGGAGCTGCTTTTCTCCTGTTATGTCTGACTGAGGAACCCTTGAAGGTGAAGGTACTAGGTGAGCCGGCAGGGTGGGAGCCGGCTGCCCCCTTTTTGTCTGGGAGCCTGTGACCCCTATCTCACTTGGGTCTCCCTCGGCCCCCTGAAGGCTGCCTCCAGCAGGGCCTGCTGCCTTGTTAGCACCTGCTGCAGCTGGTTCATGAACTGCTTCTGCTAAAGCACCAGCTTGTGCAGCTGCTCCACCTTGGAACACAGGTGATTGCTGGCATCCAGGTGCTCTTGGATTGCAGTTTGTGATGCTCTAGGTAGCAGCAGAAGCTAAGCAATAAGGCCTCGGGCATTGCACCGTCTCATCCTGCACCTGCATCTGTGGGTAGGACTTTGGCTGTGAGGACAGGCAGGAGGGCCGACCAGATCCCAGCCAGAAGATGCAGGAATCCGACACCCCCCCCCCACAGACCCCCATGGGGTCTTTCTCCCAGGGCCTAAGAGATAGGGCCTCACTCTGCCTTGAGCCCTTAATCCTACCTGGCAGCCTCCCCTCTACGAGGACCCTCTCTGTACAGTTAGGGCCAGTTCACACCCCCTCCCACCCCGCAGTGGGTGGCGTCCTGCCCTGTCCTTCCTCCCCTCACCCAAGGCGGACTCTTGGCCTCACAGTGGGTCTTTCACAGCTCCTCCTGTCATTTCTCCTTATTCACCTTGTCATGATTCATTCTCGCTGCAGTTGATCCAGGAGCTGATTTTGCAGTAGCACCTGCTGGTCAAGTCGCTCATTCTCAGAGACTGATACTGGTCAGAGGCCACCTACCATTGCAGGAAATAGGGGATAGTTGTCCCGTTGCTCCCGCCAACACTCACCTGTTTGTCCTGCAATCTCACCTGTGGGCACAATGGTGAAAGTGAGGACAGGCAGCCGGGGCGTCCTGCTCTGGGCCCAGGGATGTGGAGGTCAGCACTGACTCCCAGGTCCAAGGCTGGCAGCACCTGGGCAATCTGTCCTCTGCACAAGCACCCAGGGTCTTGCTCCCGGGGCCTAAGCGGAAGCCCCTGGGTGTCCCCATCCTGGAGAACCAGGAATCTTGGACCTAGAAGTGGGGTCTAGAGTTCATTCTGCAGCTTCTGGACAACACTCTGTCCATGGTGGCCCATTGGCAGGGCCTTGGGATGGCCAGGGAGCCCCATCCAAGCACTTTACTCTTATCGTCTTCTCTATTCCTACAAACAACATTTTCTGTTCATCTTAAAGAGTCCACACCAGGCAGAGGTGTGGACCGCATCTTGTGATTGTGGGTGTTCACAAAGATTGTTCCACTCTAAACTGGGTCACACACTGTGGGGGAGGGAGTCATGGGTTGGAGATTATATTCAATCTTCTGCACTGCGTGATCACCCCAGCACCATGGGAGGAGGGCCGCTCAAACAAATAAACCCAGACTGAGTTCCAGTACTAGTCTTAATAGAACTAAAAAATAATAACAAAATAAATGGGGCCAGAGAGGTAGTACAGGCCTTGCATGTGTCTAACTCCACCTGGATCCCCAAAACCACATGGTCCCCTGAGCTCTATCAGGAGTGACTGAAACCTTCATGGCTGCCTTTAGAAACCTTGAAGGAGATTAAGCTTTGTTTCTGTTTCGGGGAGATTGGAGATGCAGAGTCTGTGTCCACCTGAATCTATTTGTTACTGCCAAACCTTTTTCCATTCCATCTACCTTTATCACATTCCTGCTTTTGCCTTTATTCACTGATTGTCCTGAATAAACTTGTCGATGAACCACCAGTCATTCGCCTGATCCATTGCTTTCCCGTCAATAGTCCGCGTCCGTGTCTATGAACTATCGGCCTTAGACCATGTTCGAATAGTCCATCCCTCCCAGGTACTGTGTCACCATGGGATGGTGACAAAGTGGCACCTGAATAGGGACCTGAATGGTGTTAAGAGCTAATGATCAGGGAAGCCCCCACATTAACATGGTAAGTAGGAAAATGAAACAAAATGAATACAAAGCTAACACCCTTGATTAAGAGGGCAAAGGACAATGTATACAAGGTTCTAAAACAGTGGGCATTAGTGAATGCCATGGTTAGAGTTCTGTATGAGCCTTTATGGAAGAGGAAACTAAAATAAAAACTGAGAAGTTTCTCACACCTCAGAGCCTTACATCTACACTCTAAATGACTAACACTTAAGTGCTCTTGAGCTTAAATGACTCCTCCCTCTGATTCTCAAATTTCAAAGATTTCAACACATTAGACTTGGTCTCCTTAAAAAGGGGCGGATGAACACCCAGAACTCACTATTGATGAATTTTCCTCTATCAAGTTATTTTTAGACAAAGTGCCTGATGATTCTAACCTGCCAGAGGTATTGGCATGGCTGGGGCCTGAAAAAGGGGAGTGTTCTGGCCCCCTCCCTGCTCTCATACTCACCAGGTGCCTGTCCACCTGGGTCCTGCTCCCTGCCAGAAGGAGAGGAGGTTAAGCCAGGCTAAGCCATAAGTTCCATCTCTCTCTCAGGCCTGCTGAAGGGACGCCAGCCAGAAGCCCCATAGGCTGAGAAGCGAATGGGAATTGTCTACCTCAGACCAGGGATGTTGAAAATGGTCATGTGCACTGCCTTGACTTTATAGTAATTGGCCATGATCTAACATGCCAGCAGAACTCTCTATCTGCTTCTCTGAGAGACAGACTAGGAGCAGAGTGTGAGGGGCGGGAAACACTGGGTGGTCTCAACAGCCGAAAGGGTCCAATTCACCCTGCCATATCACGCAACGTGGTGACCTGGGTTGGACCCCTGGCATGCCCTGGTGCCCCCTGAGCCCTCCATGTCTGCAGAGCCATGGGTGCAGAGCTAGGAGTAAGCCATGAGCACAACTGGCTGTGGCCTCCAAACCAAAGCAAATCAAAGCAAAAATCAAAATCAAACACAAAACCCAAATAACTGAACCACTAGCCATGCTAGGCGTGCACTCTTAGCACTATACTATTTCCCAGCTTCTATGTTAGTTTTGAAGCTCAGGGATCACCCCTGGTGGTGCTCAAGGGTTCATATGAGGTACCATGAATCACCCCAGGTTAGAATAACACAAAGCAGACACCTTACCACCTGTATGCTAGATTTTGATGTATTACATTTCCTTGCTTGCTTGTCTATTTGGTTTGGGGGCCACATCCAGCCGTGCTCAGGGTTCACTCCTGTTTCTGACTCAGGGATCAGCCCTGGCCATGCTCCAGGGGCATTCTATGGGATGCCAGATATCGAATCCAGATAGCGCAAATGCCCTTCCCACTGTACTATCTCTCAGCCGCTCTTATCTTTTTCAAAATTAAATTTTTAACTGACTGTTGTTTTTCTGTACTGCATCCCAAAAGGAATACACGGTTTACAATGGTGCGTGTAAAATTCACAAACATTCTAGCAAGTACCAAGAAGTCACGTGTCAATTAGCACCAACCCCACCTCCCACTTCCCCTCCTCTTTTTGTTATTCTTGGACTATTTTGAAGGGACACACCCAGTGGTGCTCAGGCCTCACTCCTGGCTCTGTATTTGTATGACTCCTGGTGGGGTTTAGGGGAACATTTGAGTTGCCCGGGACTCCGGGTCACATCTGGGTCGTCTGTGTACAAGGCAAATGCCCTACCCTCTGAGCTACCTGTCCAATCCTGCAAGATAGTTTTTTCTGAAAGAAAGTTACTTGGTAAGATGTGAAGGGAGGACATGTTCGAAAGAGAACGTGGGCTGAAAGAACTGACCGCAAACCCTAACTTGTAATGGCCTCTAACTGCCTATACTTGTCAGTCACAACTTGCCAGTAGGGAAGTTCCTTCGGTCTGTCTCCTATCCCCATTTCTATGCCATGAGAAGCTGCTGAGGTACCAGCCAGCCTCTTTCTGGAGCGCTCTGCCTGCCCCTGCCATATGAGCCTCTTTCACCTGCGGTTGGGCGGGTCTTTTTTCATACCCAGACGCCTGGTCCCGGCAGAACGCCCGGCAAGTTTGCCGGGTAGGAAACAGCCCATTTTGCCACCTTAGGCTTTGCCTGTCTCTCACCTACTCGGGATCAGGGAGTCTCTGGGAGGCTGGAGGGGCATGGGGAGGGGAGTGCTGGGCAGGTGCCAGCCCTGACTGCCAGCAGCTCAGGAGAAGTATTGGCATCTCAGGACAGTTTCCAATCCCCCAAATCCCACCAGACCTCCACCCTGTTTTTCAAAGGTTGTGGTGACACACTTATAACACTATGAATATTTGCCTGTCATGTCATGGTTACCCAAGCCTGGCCATTGTGAAGATGTGAAACCAGGCCAGTTTAGTGAACCCAGGTGGCCTCGGGCCTTCATCTTCTGTAGGAGTGTCCTGGCAGGCAGGAGTTAATCCCATCCCTATTCAGGGTTGGAAGACCTCCCGATCTTCAGGACCTGCCTGGACACTCAGACCAGGGCCCAGGCTGTGGTCAGTCACTGCAGATCTGCAGATCCCTGGTTGTCCATAGCAGAGACCATTCCCAGTTCTTCTCTCAGCAAAACTGCCTGAAATAACAATTCTATTTCTGTCTGAAGTTGAAATCCTCGAGTGTTAAAAGTAAATAAAGAGATATTCCTGATACCCTTTCAGTATCTGTATTGTAAACTGCAAAAAGGGAGACAGAGAGAGAGAAGAAAAGTGTCTTACCATAGACCAGGGCCTGGGTTGGCTGGGTGGGGGAGGGTGTTGAAGGGAGGGAAACTGAGGACACTGGTGCTGCGAAATGTGCACTGGTGGACGGATGGGTGTTGGAACAAAGTATGACTGAAATCTAATTATGAACAGCTTTGTAAAGGTCTAGCCACAGTGATTTTATGAAAATACATTTTTAAAAAATGAATGGCTTATATTTGAAGTTTTCAAAGGACATGTGTAGTACATTATCTGCAGTAAAATCCGGATCTTAGCTGAGGCTTTGGGATCATTACAGGAGCAGGGACATTGGGAGTCAGATTTGAGTTTAGAGACAGTCCATGGTGAACAGAGCAGTGGTTCAAATGTGTCCTGCTTTGAGGATCATTCAACATGTCATTACCTAATTTCTGTTTTTAGATGATATTGCCTTTAGGTTAAAGAGGAACTTTGTAGGGGTATCATAAATCACAAACTAATATCACTTGCTTTAAATATGGAAATGGAAAAACTTAAAGTTGTGAGAACAACGAAAAAGAAGCAGGTGGACCTCAAACTGACATATGGAAATGAAGAGCAAGTCACCCCTGTCAGGAGGTGAATTTTGATCTGTGGGGCACGTGCCCCCCACAAATGTGCTGTGCCAGCAGAGACAGCGGTGGGTGCAGGAAGTGCAGGTGGTGACCTGGCCATGACTGCCTCCACGTGTCCACTCCCGTGGTGTTCTATTATTGGTAGCTGGGCACAGCGCTGGGCCACAGGCAGCAGTACTCAGGTGCTTTTCCTGGCTCTGTGCTCAGGAGTGAGGCCTGACCCTGCTCGGAACTCTGTCTGTGCACTGTGGATTGAAAGCAGGACCCTCGGGTCTCAGACCCCGCCCCAGCTGTCCTACCATTCACATCACGCCCTGCCCCATGTTTGGGACAGACCAACAAGCTGAAAAAGAAGAATTTTACAAACATACATATATATTTTAAAACATCATATATATATATTTTGCTTTTTGGGTCACACCCGGCGGTGCACAGGGGTTACTCCTGGCTCATGCCCTCAGGAATTACTCCTGGTGGTGCTCGGGGGACCATATGGGATACTGGGAATCGAACCCGGGTTGACTGCGTGCAAGGCAAACACCCTATCTGCTGTGCTATCACTCCAGCCCCATATATTTTTAAAAAATCAGAATGTGGGGCTGGAGCGATAGCACAGCGGGTAGGGCATATGCCTTGCATGTGGCCGACCCGGGTTCGATTCCCAGCATCCCATATGGTCCCCTGAGCACTGCCAGGAATAATTTCTGAGTGCATGAGCCAGGAGTAATCCCTGTGCCTCAACCGGGTGTGACCCAAAAAGAAAAAAAAAACAAAAACAGAATGCTGCACGGGAGAGCCTCATACTTGTTTGGGTTAGTGAGTTTGGGGGTTGGGGTTATGGGATCATGGTTTCAAGTCTGATAGATATGGGGAGGGGCAAGGCAGAAAGGGGTGGCTTAGAGTATCCAGGGAAGCGCCCTGTGAATGAGGCATGGGGAAATATGAAGAGACAGGCCGGGAGCAGCAGCTGAGAGAACCTCACCCACCCTCTGCACCTCAGGGTCCCCCTATGTGGGGCAGCTGGAGAGATCAGGGTCGGCTGTCCACTCCCCAGAATGTTATGAGCACAGAAATGCAGAGAGCTTTAGGGTCAGGACATAGAACGCTTGTTTCTAGTTGTCCCTAGTATCCCTTCCAGCACTGCCAGGAGGGCTCCAATGGGTCCAAACCAGGAAAGAATCCACTTTGTAAGGGGCCCGGAGCAGCAGAGGGCGGTGAGGAATGAGCTGACCCCGAGAAGAGCAGGAGGAACCAAGAGTCGGGGCTGTGGACCATGAAGTTTGGGTGGGGCTGAGGGTCTGGGGTCCTTGACTGTCTGCTCCCTCTCAGGTGCACCGACCCTGGGGCACCCACAACTCAGCCACCTGAGGTCCTGCTTATGACAAGCCCCCAAGTCCATTTGGGGGCCAAGAGGTTCCAGGAACAACGGGTGGGCTTAGAGAAGAACTGCAGATGCAAGTGGGGACTGAGGGGACTGAGCTGGGGCGACAGGAGCTGGGGGCAGCGCCTCCTGAAGGCTGAGGACTGAAGGGTGGCCTGAGTCGGGCGAGGCTCGATCTGTGTCTCAGCAACAGTGGGCAATATTTCCCGCATCTTCACTGCGAGCCCACGAACAGCTGCCGAACACCAAGAGTTTTGTGAGAGGGTACAGGGGTCTGCCGGCCATCAGCTCCCCTCCACCCAAGGCTATTCTTGGGGCATGACATTGCAGCCTTCTGGGCTGTGACTTTCCTGGTCTGTGAAATGGGCTGGTAAGGTAAGAGCCCGCGTTGAGTTCTTGGGAGGTAGGACAGTCCAGGATGCCAGCCACTGAAGGGTTGTGGGGGTGCGGACTGGCCCACAGTGCACAGAGAGGGGTCCTGGAGGTGGGAGGCTGTGGGGTAGGATAAGGGATGGAGGCAGGGAGAGATCCCATGTCTAGGCAGGTGCGGTCTAGGCATTGGACCCGGGAGTAAGTAACTGAGCCCTGCATCTCCTGGCTGGGATCTGGACGGTCCTCGCGCCTGTCCTCACTGCCAATGTCCTGCCCCCAGGTGCAGGACGATACAATGCAGCAGACAACTGCAATCCAACAGGATGTGCATGCCCACCGTCACCTGGGTTCCAAGGCTGAGCAGCTGCACCAGGCGGTTCTGCAGGAGAAGCTGCTCCTGGTCCAGCTGCTGCAGCACCTGTCAACGGAGCAGGCCCAGGTAGAGGCAGTCAGTGGAGAGGGCGGGGAGACCCAGGGGTAAGAGGGGCACCGGAACAGGGAGTCCCGCAGCCTCCCTGCCTCCTCCCCTAGTACCTTCACCTACAGGGGCCCTAGGTCCGGGACTTCCTGTCTCAGGCCCTGCTGAATTCACACAGGAGCCCTGGAAAACCGTGAGGGTTGGGGTTCCTAGGAGGGAGAAACCAGGTTTGGGAGTCAGGGGGTGGGGCTGCCTGGGAGGCGGGGCCAGGCGGGCCCCACCCCTGGTCACTGCACCCTCCGCGGTTGGCTGAGACCCAGCGGCCGCCTGACAACCCATCAAGAGGAAAAACACACTGGGGTGGAGAGGGAGATGCTGGAGGTGTGTGAGACCACGAAGACTGCAGCTGGAGGCGATGGTGAAGGAGGGGAAAAGCCGACCCTGAAGTCAGTGAAGGAAAAATTTAAAACTCGGAGGGGTTCAGGTGAGCCAGACCCAGGTCTCGTCCCAGGGCCCTTCCCCAGCCCATCTGACGCTCTTCCCTACACCCTTGGCCTTACCCATGACCTCCGGGCCCTCCGTGTCACAGAGACCCTGGCCTCATGGCCCCCTGTCCCTGGGCGGGGCCTGTCTTGCTTCTTCTCTGGCCCCGCCCCCAGCAGCACCTCCCCCACCCAGGAAGGTGCACCCCCCCCCCCAGCTGCAGCTCCTGCTGCATTTCTTCCGAGTTTTCATGCACTGCCCCATGCTCTCGAGGCCAGGGGTCTCTGGATGTGCCCAGCTCACTGGAACACATCAATGTCTGCATTGTATGCGCTGTTCCGCAGAGGGGCCAGCAAGCACCCCCAGCCCCTCACTGGGCAGCCTCCGTGCCTCCCTCCCCAACCCCTCCCGCCCACCTCCCATTGTCCACATAGGGCTCACAGGCTCACATGGGACCTTCCACCGGCCTCACCAGCCCATTTCCCGGGCAGGCTGGAAAATCCAGCCTTAGAGGGGTGGAACGGCTTTACCCTTGGAATTCAGCCCTACCCCCCCGCCCCCCCCTCGCAGTCGCAGATCTGCCAGTTTTGCTTTTTCTCCACATTTCTCCACGGACCCTTCAGGCTTGGGATAAAAAAACCCACCGAAGGGGTTTGGGAGGGCTGGGGAGGACGCTCAGTTCAGAGAATTCCTGAGCCTCAACCCCAGCTGGCAAGCAAAATGTGGGCTCTGACATTCACTAACTCGACCAAGCCCTCCCTTCAGAGGAAGAGAGGTGACCAGTGTGGAGGTATGGAAGAGGCATGTCTGGGGGACAGCATGCCCCCGGGTTCCTTCCCGCACAGAAGAGGCTTCCAGGGTTCCCCTTCACATTCTCTACAAACCCCTTTTCCAAAGGACACCCCACCCAGATGGGGGCTGTGTTGGCAGCATGGACTCAGGGCACCCTACTGTCTCTTTTTTTTTCCTCCATGTTGCTCTTCTCCAGAATAAATGATTTTGTTGTTGTTGTTGTTGTCTCCAAATGAATGATTTTTTTTGTTGCTGTTAATTTATTTTTTAATTTCTGGGGCACACTCAGCAGTGCTCAGTGGTTGCTCCTGCCTCGGAACTCCGGGATCTATCTCCCTTGGAGGGCTCAGGAGACTAGTTGAGGTGTCAGGGTGCATTGGGAGTGTGAGCATCAGGTGTGTGAGGCGTGCGCAGGAGGAAGAGTGAACAGGCAGCCCCTTGAGCAAGGCACAGGTGGCAGGGCAGAGCTAAGGGCTGGGAGCTGAGGCTAAGCCGAGGACCTTCTCGTTCCTGCAGTGGTCAGCATGGCCATGACTGCTGGCCCCATGTGCTCCCCAGGCCTTCCACTCACTGGGTCTGCTACCCTCCTCCTGCCGAACGCTTTATCTGCCCGGACCCCAAAGATGTGTTTTTCTGTTTGCAAACTGCACCAGGAACCAAGCCCTGTTTGCCTTGAAATGGGCAGATCTAGAGACAGGCAGGGAAGCTTGGTCACTGTGGACCGTTTTCTCCAGGTGCAAGAATGCAACTCCCTTGTTCAGGGAGGTCCTGGCTATGGACTCAGAAAGATTCCCTGGGCAGCCCTATAGTGTGCTGTCCTGCAGTGCATTGAGGATGCAGTCCTGGCAGCAGAAACCCAAGGGCCTGATGCACGTCTCTACTCCTACTCTTGGTAGAAAGCACATTTAGAAATAAGGACTCACCAGTGTACCCCCCAAAAATGCCCCTCTTCCCACAACAACCAAATAGCACTGAATTCAGCCTCAAAATTGGACTCCACAAAAGAAAGGGACAGACATAGAAAGATTGCATTCATCTGGGGAACATAAAGTAACAAAATAGGAGACTAACACCCAAGAATAGCTGAGATAGGTACCAGGAGGTTTAGGTACCAGCCACACACATTAGGGGAAAAGGCAGCTCAGATAGAGAAGGGAGCACCAAATAAAGGGTGTTGGGAGGATCCTCCCAGGATGGGAGATGCATGCTGAAAGTAGACTATAGTCCGAACATGATTGCCACTCAATGCCTCTTTTGCAAACCACAGCACCCAAAAGGAGAGAGAGACCAAAATGGAATGCCCTGCCACAGAGGCAGGGTGGGATGGGGGAGATGGGGGGTGGGAGGGATACTGGGATCAGTGGTGGTGGAGAATGGGCACTGGTGGAGGGATGGGTGTTCGCTCAATGTATAACTGAAACCCAGCACAAAAAAATTGTAACTCTACAACTGTACCTCATGGTGTTTCACTAATAAAAATTTTTAAAAAATTAATTCCACAACAACAACCAAAAAAAAAAAAACCAAAATTGGACTTCGGGTTAGTTTTTCTCTCCTTGATGGCCTTGATATGCTCTTTGGCTCCTGGCAAAGAGACCCCTACACGGACACTGCTTGATGCTTGATGCAGGAGTCACAGGTGGGTCCTGATCTCATCCTGGACATTCATCTTACGAAAGCTTCAGTTTCCCAGTGATGGTCCTTGATTCAATCATTCCCAAATGTGCATCACGTGGAGGACCTTGGATGGACCTCTGACAGGCGCCAGGCGACCCTGATTTGGACAAGGGAAGGCCTAAGGTCCCACATGTGATATGGTCCAGAGTACAGCATGGGACAGTCTCTGGCCAAAAGAATGGTCAAGGACCCCTTGGGTCTGGGATAGGCAAAATAAAACTGGCCCCAGGAGTGGAGTCTGGGGAGTAGGAGCAGATGACATGTGCCCAGGAAAAGCCAACAGATCTGACCTTTCTTGCCTGACTTTACAGGAGCCATTGAACTCAACTTGAAGTGACAGATTAAAGGAATCTGTAATTCTCTTGCTGAGCTTATGCAAGATGACAGGCCACATTGATGAGAAGCAAATTTCACCATTGCTGTAAACGTTTAACATAAAGGAGGTGAGGAAACAGAAACATCTGCATCAGCAACTTCTAACCGTGTCCAAGTGTAGAACTGTGGGTCTTCTGGCAGGGAGAGCTGGAGGCATGCTGTGTGTGAGCAGGGCAGGAAACGCTCGGGCACTGAGGGTCTGCCCCAACGGCACTGCTGCCAGTACCTAGAGTAGCCCTGGTCTCCTTGGTCACAAATACTAACAGTAATAGAAATGGGGAGTTGTGCTGAGCCCCCAGGGTCGACTCTCTGGTGCACTGAGCAAACACCATGGATTGCCTGAGGCTGCCAAAGCAGATGCAAACTCTGCAGGGGCCCGCACAGACCAGGCAGAGGAAGGAGACAGAGTCTGGGTGGGGAGGCGGGGTGCGGGGCAGGAATCCTGACAAAGGTCACCAGCAAGTGCAGACCTGGTCGCTAGTTTCATCTTGATTGACAGTGACCCTTGATGAGCATGGTGTCATTGAGAATACACCCTGGAGGTGGGATCCTGAGGGGGGGGGGCAGGGGGGATGTGCCTGCTAACTGTGCTCTGCTCATTTGCCTGAGCAGCCCAGAGGTGAAAACACATCACCCCACCCCCAGGGCTGATTCTGGTCTCCTCCCTGCTCTGTGTGCCCCAGAGGCCAGATGGGGGCTGTTGTGACTGGGAAGAGGCAGAGGGTCTCTAACTCAACTGGCCACCCAGGTAGAAAAACTCCTTAAGGTCCAGAATGCCATGGGCACTAAGGGTCCAGAACGAAACTGACTCCCTGGCCTTAGTTGTCGTTCCAATCTATGGGCCCTGGGCCTGCTCAGTGCCCAGCAGGGAGGAAAAGGTGTTTTCTCCAATGAGGACTGAACGCTGCTCTACTCCAATCAGTCATGGGGGAGGGGGGTTGAGCCAGTTGAAAGAATGAATTCAAGATAGGGAGGGAGCTGGAGGCTGGTCAGGCACAACTTTGGTCAAATTTGGCTACTCCGGAGGGCCTCACTGTAGAATGGACATCTCTCAGAGTCAGGTCAGAAATGAGAAACAATCCCAGAGAGTCACTCATCACTAAGCATCGCCAGAAGATTAACCTGCAGGTGATAGTTTGTCAGGATCAGCCGCAGCGGGGTGAGCTAAGGGGGGCTCGCAAATGATTCTGTCTGCCAAGCCTCAGGGGAGGGAACCAAGGAGGCAACAAGAGGCAGAAGCGAAAAACTAGGCAGGACCTCTGAGAGACCCACTCTAGGAGGTGGACAAGATAGATAGGTCAGGAATCACCAAATTTGACAAGAATCAAATGTGAGGTTTGCTCTGACAACATGGTGACCAGAACCAAATGGCAACTGGCTGAGTGGACAGCAACAATCCTGGAGTCAGAGATCACCTTGTCCCAGGTGAGGAAGACAAGACTTATCGCCCATGTGGTGACAGGAAGCCACCAGGCTTCATTCCAGGTTCCTTATCATTGACCCACGAACAGATGACTAGGACTAGACCAAGACAACTTCAAAGCCCCCTTCGTCTAACCCAGGGCATGGGTGTACCATTGCCTCACCTGAGGTTCGGAGAGGCCGCCCGGGAGCGCCCCCAGTAATCTACTCCTATTTCCTTAACTTTATTTATATGTCTCTGTCCCTCTGTACGACCTAGATGGGGTTCCCAAATCTCTCACCGAGCAAGAGAGTGAGAGCAGTTTGCCTGAGCAGGGATGGAAGAGGCTCACGGGAACGCTCAAACAATGGAGCTTAGAAACTGGAGTCACCACTGTGGGAGCACCTGAGAGCAGTAGGCACCACTGCATGTTAGATGAAAGTTCTTACCGCAGAATCGAGGTAGCCTGTAAACAACCTACATAATTATGCTGTGACCTGCTAATGCCCGTTTGGGGGTAGCTGGATAGAGCCTGCACACATGGAATACACTGGGGTGCTTCTGGCAAACTCTTGGGTGCCACCTACATCTTGGTGAGACTCTGTAAGGTCCTAAGAGGAAAAACTCCCAAGACAGTCTTTCAATGTCCAGGGAGAACAGCTCTCCCCACCGGCAAGGGTGGATAGGGGTGAGCAGCTGATCCCCACAGTCTCTCAGCTCCCCAAACCTCAAGGCAAACCTGGACTTGGTGTTTCCAGAGCCCAGGGACCCAGAGGCAGGACACGGGGAGCTAAGCCCAGAGCCCCAGTAGAGGCTGCGAGAGGGTATGCAGGAC